TTTATAGCTTCTCCATGGATATTAGGAGTCTAGTCGCTTCTCTGGAGTCGTTCAGAGTCTAGCTGCTTCTCTTGTTTTCTTTGGAGTCTAGCTCGCATTCTTTATCAAGTTTCTCTGCGTTATAGCTTCTCCATGGATATTAGGAGTCTAGTCGCTTCTCTGGAGTCGTTCAGAGTCTAGCTGCTTCTCTTGTTTTCTTTGGAGTCTAGCTCACGTTCTATATCAAGTTTCTCTGTGACTTCGCAGAGTCTAGCTTCCTTTAAAATCTTTTGAAAAAAATTTGTTACTATTAGTAGGTTTGTTATAGAGTGAGTAGCCCCTGATACGCCAAATGTTTGCAGTAGGTTTTAGTACATGTTCTTTGCTTGCACATACATATCTGTGTCTTAACTCAATTAATAAACAGGTTAACTCTTTCATTATGTGAAGTTATGTATAAATTCAAAATAGATGCAGCAGGGCGGTATTTTTTTTTCATTTTACATGGCAAAAACGAGACGAGGGCGATTTTTTTTTTTATTGTGTAGTTTGTAAAACGTTCATTGTGGACATTACCTTGTCTTTTTATAGTTGTGTAGAGACTCGTCATAGAGCAAGCCTCCAAAATTCCCCCACGATGTTCCAGACGAGAATCACGAACCCCCCATTCTTATTTGTACCGAAATGAGCGCCATTTGTACACAAGACTAATAAGTCATAATAATTTTAACGCTTGCCTGAATCTCAATCCTTACCGTTATTCAAACGTTTTCGGGACTTGGGTGACTAATAAGTAAAAACGACATGCCGACCAATTTTCCGGAATTTTTTAAAGATGGAGGCTGGCGCATTCACAATTTTTTAGGTCACCTGAGCTTTAGCTCAAGTGACCTATTGCTATCCGTTGTCGTCGTCCGTCGTCCGTCGTCCGTTAACATTTTACATTTCAAACTTAAAGTCAAGTTCTGCTGGACCGATTGAACTGAAAGTTGGTAGGAATGATCGCCTCATGGTCCTGACAAAGTGTTGTTATTTTTCGGGTCGATCAGAAATCCAATATGGCCGCCACGGCCACCATTTTGAAAACCTATTTCAAACTTAAAGTCAAGTTCTGCTGGACCGATTGAACTGAAAGTTGGTAGGAATGATCGCCTCATGGTCCTGACAAAGTGTTGTTATTTTTTGGGTCGATCAGAAATCCAATATGGCCACCACGGCCGCCATTTTGAAAACCTATTTCAAACTTAAAGTCAAGTTCTGCTGGACCGATTGAACTTAAAGTTTGTAGGAATGATCGACTCATGGTCCTGACAAAGTGTTGTTATTTTTCAGGTCAATCATAAATCCAATATGGCCGCCACGGCCACCATTTTGAAAACATATTTCAAACTTAAAGTCAAGTTCTGCTAGGCCGATTGAACTGAAACTTTGTAGGAATGATTGACTCATGGTCCTGACAAAGTGTTGTTATTTTTCAGGTCGATCAGAAATCCAATATGGCCACCACAGCTGCCATTTTGGTAAACTATTTCAAACTTAAAGTAAAGATCTACTTGGCCGATTGAACTGAAACTTTGTAGGAATGATCGAATCATGGTCCTGACAAAGTGTTGTTATTTTTCGGGTCAATCAGAAATACAATTTGGCTGCCATGGCCGCTATTTTGCTACTAAGTTCTAATAGGCCGATCTCACTTAAAATTGGTCTAGGAATGATCAGCTCATGGTCCTGACAAAGTTAAGTTAACATTATACTATTTTTTACTCAAATTGGTACATATTTCAACAACAAAAATAAATACTATAGACTCAGGTGACCGTTAAGGCCCATGGGCCTCTTGTTTTTTATTACTTTCACGATAAAATCGGCAATGGGCACGGTGCCATGAAATGCGCGCGGGCCTGAGAACCAAGTAATCAATTTTTTTTGGCCTAAAATTTAACATCAAGACTCCAAAAAGACACCTAGAGAAGAGGCTTGACTCTGCCGAACTGCAGAGAAGCAACTTGACTCTTAAGTATTTATGGATAAGATGAGAAACAGAATACTCTTAACCTAAAGAAGAAGCTTGACTCTACTGCACTGCAGGGAAGCGACTCGACTCTAAGACTTGAAATAGAATAGACCTAGAGAAGAAGCTTGACTCTACTGAACTGCAGACGAAGCGACTTGACTCTAAGTATTCCTGGAGATGATGATACATATATAGAAGCTACTGACATAGTAAATGAATAATATTTAAATTAATAAAGTATTGGGGGTAAAATTCCCCTGGAATTAAAAGCCAAAATTGAACGAAATATGTAATACAGATGATATGGATTACTAATGTGATATTTATACTGTATGTTTCCGTCAATAAGCCCATGCTTGGTAATAAGCCCACCAGTATATATTGCAGTTAGGATGAAATGTCAACAAAAGCTTTTCCCTTGTCCTGTAATAAGCCCACCCCTACTTTCTTTTTTTTGGAATTGTTTATTTTTCGACGATTTTTTCGTAATACATATAATCATGAAAAGAAACACACACACACTCAAACTTACAGATGCATACATGCTAGCAGGAGATATCTTCATAGTCTATACATGCACAGGTTAGGTATACATTATATACAACCATCATATTCTGCATATCTATTTATAAACATTTCCTCATTCACCTACCCCTAGATGATGTGCACTATATATCTAAGAAGTATAGTTCAAACTTCCAAGCCTAGCATAGTACATGTATCACTGTTCACCAACACACACACACATATCACAATGTGTACATGATCATTTGGTCACCATCGTGCACTAATGTATCCACATTGTCAACACTAATACTCATTTGCACTGTATACATGTTCGATAATAGCCATTTAATTGTATAAACATAAGGTCCATGATGTATCCTGACCAGTACATACGTATGTACAATATGTATATACACACATGCATACACATAACACTAGTATGAGGTCAGCTATCTATATTTATTGACACTCATATATGTCTCATACCTAGCTGTATCTATAATTCATCTATTACACACCCATACACCCACACACACACCATCAACTGAACAACACACCATAACAAACTCTCAGACACCTATCCATTACACAGGTTAATACACACATCACTCTCTTACTTTAGAACCATAAATAATAATATACTATCTGTTGTGTACATCAAACCTATAGCTACATACTATACTTATATAAGAGTAATATCAGTAGTATAAGTTGAGAGAGAGAGAGCGAGAGCGAGAGAGAGAGAGAGAGAGTCTTTAACATGTAAAAATTATATATGCTTAAGTAGCCCCTACTTTCAGTTAGAGATTATGTGTTGGCCCCCTGGGCTTATTGCAGTGTTGAAATACAGCAGTAAAAATGGTTTGAACTTGACACCTTTTACCCTAATGTAATAGAGAGTATGAGACAAAGCTATATCATTGAACTGTTTAAAAGAAGGTTGAGATCAGTGATAACATTTGAACCACATTTTATTGTATTTCTGTCTGTAGAAAAATTACATGTTAAGTTTCTTTAGTTGATTTGATTCTTTAAAGTTCACAATGAATCCATAATAAGATGATGTAGTACAAAGTCTCAGATTATACTTTAAACTGGGAAATTTTCGCCACAGTTGATCAATCGCCTTTTTGTTTATCATTACAGCGAACATTATCCAACAACACATTGAACATAGTTGTGAAGGGTGAAACTAACATTGGGTGAATATGGATATTAACCCTTTCATCCCTATGTAACTTCAGTAGACTCCACCTTGCGTTGATCTGGATGAGTCCATTATGGCCTACAGTGGTGAAAGGGTTAACGGCGCAGGGCAAAAGTTTCCCAGGGGATATTTTCCTGATATAGAGTAACACAGGGTTCAGTTTTGACAGGTTGAATTATATTGATCTTTAAAATGAAATTTGCAGGTTGTGAAATTGATAAAGAATTCCAAAGAAAAACCTGTTACGGCAGCTATAGGTGACGGAGCTAATGATGTCAGCATGATACAGGAGGCCCATGTTGGCTTAGGTATTGTTAGAATTAAAAAAATAAATTTTTTTTTTTTTGTCTTTAATTGATAAAAAAGTTTCTTGAACAGATAATCATTTTTAAAAGTCAAAGAAATTGAAAGCTTTTCAGAGTTTGATCAATCTTGATGCTATATATTGCCCCATTTGTTAAATTGTAAAAGAAAGTATCCTTTGTAGCAAATGTATAGTTTGTTACCATAAAACTCAGAAAAAAATAGCCATGAATGTTTTCTGTTGTAAAGCCAATCACAAATAAAACAGTTCACCATGCAATAGTAAATTGTTTTGCAGAAGGGTAAAATCTTAAAAAGATAAGAAAACAGTGTTGATATATGTCAGTCAATAATTGATATGTTCTTCTTGTAGGTATCATGGGGAAGGAAGGTCGCCAAGCGGTGCGTAACAGCGACTATGCATTTGCCAAATTCCGGTTTTTAAAACGAGCCATACTGGTGCATGGCAACTATTACTACACTAGACTGGCTAACCTGGTACAGTTCTTTTTCTACAAGGTAAGTCTGGAATATTTAGATACTCTATTGCTTATGGCCGATATAGAATTAAGGTAGGTTTAACAGACAGGCAACAAAACTAAATGGGACTCTGTTCCGTTTACTTTAAATATGTTTATTCAGCAATGAACACGCTCTGAAAAGACACACAAAGTAGTGGTAAATTGCACAATGATAATTAGCATGAATTACGTATAGAAACTAACATAACATACAATCCTCTATCTCCCCCAAGTCTTTGGTACACGTAAGTAATAGGGTCACACGTATTAGTCCTAGGAACAAAGACTGATGAGAAATATGAGAATTATTAAGAAATGTCCGACTAATTGTCCTAAAATAAACAAAATGAAGCACTGAGTCTCCGTGAAAAGTTGCACAACAGATATAACACTTGGGAAATGTTCCAAGTAGAAACAAGTAAATTGTTATTTGGACATTTTATAATCTGAATGCCAAGCTGGTTTCTTTGTGGCACGACCAGAAGTCCGGATCGGTGCAGGGGACGGAACTACTGCTTGTGGCGTATGTGTCGAGATAGGTGGCATCGTTGCCGGGGGTGTGGTGATTTTGCTCACTGGGGTTGCAGGAGAATCAAACGCAAGATGACGTCAACTGAAGATGTCTCGAATACCAAATGGTGGTGAAGGGTGATCAACATCAGATGATGAACGAGGCGAACGTTGTATGGTTCTAGTAGTCAACGGAGTGGATGGGGGAGGACTCGTATCCTTACGGGGGGGGGTGCTCTCTTCACCGACGACAGTGTCTGGGGCGTTAGAAGTAGGAGACGTCGTACGATGGGAGAGTCCAATTTGATTGTCAATTGTGTAGCGCGCTGGTGGCGTAACGACTGGGATATACTTCCTTAGGAATTTCCTGTTGCGTAAGGTAACACGGCCAGATCCGTATACCCGAACTACATATTGATCAAACTGGCGAACTTCGGTAATGATTCCAGTCTTGTCCCATTTAAGGGGGTGAGGACCAACTTGATTTTGGATGCGTACATGATCTCCAACTGCAAGAGGTNTGACCAACGTTTTCCGTTGTAGCAGGAAAAGGCAGTTTTGTCGGAGGCGGTGGTGGCAGTTGGCGTGTAGGACAATCGCATGCTTTGACTTGGTGATCCGGTAAGGAGAAAGTAGCATCGACATGTATGCTAGCTGAAGGGACTTGAGCTCCGACGGTTGGAAATGAATCGTGGATAATACCTAATGCAGCGCAGGCTTCGCGACTGAGGAAGAGCTTGTCTGTTGAGCTTGTGACATATGTCATCTGTCTGGTCTCCTTGGTGTTTCCTGCCTTGTCTTTACCAATCAAGCGAAGGATGGTCGCCCCAAGAATTTTGATACCACCGTATGTAGCCGTGTGCATCTGCATCGTTACAGGTATGAGTTCTGATTCTCGTAGACCAAGGCGGCGGATTACTTTCAAGCCAGCGAGGCAACTCTGACATCCCGTGTCAGCCATAGCCTGTATTGAGACGTTGCTGGTGTCTCGTGTTAGTCTGAAGCCTAGGGCGGCGTAGTCCTCAGCAGTAACTTTAGCCGTCACGTTCACGAATGGTTGAGGCTTGGAGCGTTGTTTCACCCAGGAATTCGTCAGTTCGTCATAGACATGGTGGTCGATGCAGATTGAGCGTTCGATGCCAGAATCACTAACGGTACAGTGGTGATGTTGTAGAGAATCATGAACAGAGCACAATGCGTCGAACAAAGCACTTCCGGAAAGTGTATCACGGTCTGTCACTTTGGGTTTGTCCTTGCTTCTACATACAATTTCAAAATGATGTTCGCGATGGCAATGCCCACATATGTGTCCATATGCTGTACACTCTGTTTTACGTATGCGAGCAAGGGCAGACTTGCCGTGTCCCTTTTTTCCGCAATATGCACATTGCTCTGCTTTGTTGGAGGTGTCTTTGGACGACGGTCTGTCAGCCTTGCTTTTCCGGTATGAGCTGCTGGCAGCCTCAACTGGATGAGAATCTGAAAGTCTAGAAGCTGAACGTTTACCGGCTTCCTTTGATTCGACAAATTGAAATACATCCTCAAGATTCATGTCCTGATTTTTGTGTCCTAACAGATCAAGTTGTATTTCCGGATCGGCAATTCCCCGGGTGAGTACGTCACGCATGATAGCGTCAGTGTAATTGACGTCGGCTGTACATCCGGGGCACTTAATCACAAACTTGCATATACCGGCCTGTCCTTTAAGTCTAGCACCGTAACTCCGGACAGTTTCATCACGATCCTGTCGCATATTGTGTAGCGTCACTCTTGCAACCATAGTGTTTTCCTCACGTACTGCGTGTTCTCGTTTGGGTATGTGTACAGCGGAGTGAGCCGTGATGAGTGCCGCGACGATAGTGGCATCCAGGTCATCCGTGACATAGTCGCAGTCTGTGATAGGGCAGGCTACAGCTGGCATTGTGGTAATGTGGCAATGATGGGGTTCAGTATTCCGACCGTGTTCATAAATGGGACTCTGTTCCATTTACTTTAAATATGTTTATTCAGCAATGAACACGGTCTGAAAAGACACACAAAGTAGTGGTAAATTGCACAATGATAATTAGCATGAATTACGTATAGAAACTAACATAACATACAATCCTCTAAAAACTTTAAATTTTTAAGTAAAACTTTTATGTAACAGGGCTCTGGAAAAACTTTTGAAACCACTTGTCCGGCAGACAAGTACATGGCAAAAAGTACTCGACAAACAGAAAAACCACTCGTCCAGGAAATGAACAAATAAAAATGTAATCTAAGCCTAATATTAAAAATAAAAGGGCAATATTTTGTTTGGCAACTTAAGCAGCAGTGGCATAGCACACAATTGTATCTGCTCAAGCATACACTAGAATCTCTATACACATCAAATAATCTTGAAGGTTTATGTTAATCAAAAACTACTTGTGAAGTTCTAAATTTAATATTTATCATATAAAAGAGCGGGTTTTATTTGTTAATAATCAGACTAATAGATTATTCCCAGATTACGAGATTGTTTCTAGGGCCTAGAGGTATTCTTTTCCCCCCCAGCTATATATGGGAAAGGAAACTCCTCCTCCAATACCCTCCCAAAATCCCGGCGCCACCTGCCTCAGACGCTCGACCCCCTGTAATCAAACACTCTGAAAAATGATTTCCTATGCCACTGAGCAGTATTAAATAAAATGTTTATTCTTTTACCTATCCTTCTGACTCTTGATCAGTTGCTGATTTACATGGAGTCATTTGATTTGTATTTTGTTGTTTTTTCAGAATGTCGCTTTCATCACTGCTCAACTCTTCTACACATTTTTCTCAGGTTTTTCACAACAGGTGAGGATCATTGATTGTGAATAAAGAAATATTCGGAAGAATTGAAAAAAATATGTTACAGTACTAGTTATTCCCCAATATTGTTGAAAAATTTGGAGAAAAATAAAATGTAAAAAACACCTCTAGCAACTGGATTACACTGTATTTGAAATATATCTGAAAAATATTGAAAAGTACTAGAAGGTTTATTTATGAAATTAAGTATATTTTGTACGTTGCATGACATTTGTCCTATATTAACTTTTAAAGAAAATATCAATGATAATATTGCATTGTTAAATGTGAGTTCTATTGGGACATGTAAGTGAAATGTACTGTTCTGGTTCATGTGAATGATGTAAAAAAAGGTTTGTCCATGGATCATACATGTGTACGTGCCTTTCCTTGTGATTTGATTTGTCCCATTTACATGTAAATCCAGCTGTTCCATTTTCCATCTATTCCAACTTGAAAGCAATGTGGCCGGAATACTGACGGTTAAATGTGTAATTAGTACCTACCTATATATACAATGTATAATGGAGTATAATTGATATACAATGTATATATATATAGGTATATAAGAAGCCCTAGAAGGCAGAAAGGCAAAAATTGAGGGGGTTTTGTAAAGACATTTTAAGAAAGATGAGTAATTTTGAGTATATTAACTACAGGTGATCAGTTTGAGTCTCAAGACACTCCTATTGATGAACATATCGAGTTAACTTTTTACATAAAAGATGATACTGTAAACAACGTGATTATTTTCCATTACAGACCATATACGACGTGATGAACCTGACCATGTACAATATCACATTTACCTCACTGCCCATCTTCATCTACAGTCTGTTTGAAAAGTCCATATCACAGGAGGAACTGCTGCAGAATCCACACCTCTACAAGTACGTCACAGGTGGAAGGGTGCATCCCCCTACCCCCACTCAAAAACCTATATATATACCCAACAGAGTGCATCCCCCTACCCCCACTCAAAAACCTATATATATACCCAACAGAGTGCATCCCCCTACCCCCACTCAAAACCTAAATATATACCCACCAGAGTGCACCACCCCTTCCCTCACTCAAAAACCTATATATATACCCACCAGAGTGCATCCCCCCTACCCCCACTCAAAAACCTATATATATACCCACCAGAGTGCATCCCCCTACCCTCACTCAAAAACCTATATATATACCCACCAGAGTGCATCCCCCCTACCCTCACTCAAAAACCTATATATATACCCACCAGAGTGCATCCCCCTACCCTCATTCAAAAACCTATATATATACCCACCAGAGTGCATCCCCCTACCCTCACTCAAAAACCTATATATATACCCACCAGAGTGCATCCCCC